TTGAGATGAAAGATCTTTGAGAGGCTTCTTATGTACCTAGCATTGAAATATATCGTGATATGAAATCGTGGCTTACTGGGATTTTCTCAGAAAGCTTATATATGACGCGTTCTAAAAAGGTTTAATATGCAGAACTGTGCACCTGATGATGTACCCATCATAAAAAAGATAAGTTTAACAAAACTCAATGTCCAAGGTTTAACAAAACTCAATATTCTAGAAAGGTTTGATATGCAAAATTGTGTACCTAATGATGTACCCATCATAAAAAGATATAAGTTTAACAAAACTTAGTGTCCAATGAATGAGTTAGAAATGGAATCTATGAAGATGATTCCATATGCTAGTACTATAGAGAGCTTGATGTATGTTCAAGTTTGCACTAAATCGGATATAGCCTATACAGTCAGTGTCCTTAGTAGGTTTCAATTAAATTTAGGATAAGAGCAATGGAAAACAGTTAAGAAATTTATGAGATATTTGAAGAAAACTGAAGGTTATATGTTTACATTCCAGTGTTCAAATCACCCTAAGGTGGTAGATTATTCAGATTTTGATTTTGTTGGATGTCAATATGATTTAAAAATCAACCTCAGGTTATATTTTTATATTAGCTGGTAGATTTTGAGGGTAGAAATGAAAGTGTAGTCAGAAGTCCTAATTTTAATAAAGGAAACGTTATATTTTGGAATCCCATTGTCGGATTCAGCTCAATCCAGTCCTAAGTGGGAGAGCATGGGTGCTAGAAAGCTTTCTGTCAATGATACAAGTATTTTAAATGGAGCAAGCAGATGGTGACTCTGTTTTGCATTGTTTGAAGAGACAAGTTCGGTTGGACCGCAAGTCTTTGATGGCATTGTACATGGAATTAGATGAAGAAAGAAGTGCTTCTACAGTTGCAGCAAGTAATGCAATGGCCATGATTTCCTGATTACGAGTAGAGAAGACGGCTACGACAGCCCAAGAACAACTAAACAAGAGGGGGTGAATTAGTTATTTGAAACTTTTTTCGAAAATAAGTTCAAATTTAAGTAAATAACGATTAAAATAATAAGTAAGCAATATATCAAAAAAATAATAAGAGGAAGGGAAGAGAGAGCGCAAACGATGTAATAAGGAGGTTCGATCCAATCAACGATCTACGTCCCCCATTAACAAGCTCTCTGTCACGAGTAAGGCCTTTTCCATTATATTTGATTGACTTATGGTGCAATCCAACCTTTACAAAGCTTTCGATGGCTTACAATCAAGGAACACCGATCTTTTTACACCGTTGATATTTTCGGGACCTCAACACGACTCACAATCCAAAAATAAGAGAATTGAAATTACAAGTGAAAAATTTCTCTCTTAATAAATGATATAGACTTAGTTTGAATATAAGAGAGAAGTAGGTAAACACTTTAATTGATAGCAAAGAAGGTAGCTCAAGTGTTTTGATTGAAAAACTTTAGTTGAGATTAATGATTTTTCAACTTTTGATCATTCAAAAAGTTTTTCAATAAATGAATGATTTGATTTTTAAAATAGTGAAAGATAAGGTTGAGAGAATAAAAAATACTTCACTTAATGCTCATAAACAGTTATATAAATAGTGAAGAGAAAGTGGTATTTGTAGTTCACAAAGATCTTCCTAACGGTCAAAAGTCTGCCCTACTGGACAAGTGTACTGGACCATCCGGTACGTACCGGACAAGGCTACTAGCCTTTGGTGAGTCAGGTGTCAGAACGTTAAAAATTTTGACCCTTGGGCAAAGACCTTTATCAGATCGTCCGGTAGCTCAATTCTCAAAAAATAGATTTTGCCTTAAATGATTTTATTTTGAACTCCCGAGACTTCTTTGCTAAATATTAAAATGTTATACCTTTACATATAAATTCAAGAGTTCTAATATAATTTTCTTCAGTATGCTCGATCATCAAGGTTTATGACTTCGATCTTGATTCCTCTTGACATTGGCATTCGTTTCGTTCTTCATGAGTGCATTTTATCTTGTCCTATGCATGAATCTTCATTTTTATGCTATGGTCGATTTGATTTCAACTATCATGATTCAAAAGTAGGTTTGTTAGAACCAAAATTAAATTTTATTTGTTATAATCAAAACATAGACCGAAGTCAACCATGTCAACAAGCTATCCCTACGGAGGCCTTGCAGTATTAGATAATGATGGAAAAACGCGCAGAGTACGATCAATAAGCTATACAAATATTGAAAGATATGCTTTTAACGAGTGAGGAAGATGTAAAGCTTGTTATCCTTGTATTAAGTTTGTTATTCCTCGTATGAAGTTAGCCATCAGAAGCAACAGGTGGAAGCTCCATTGATGTCATTGGAAGAGTCAGCCCAAACACATGAAAAGACGAAGCAACAAGGTTATGAAAGCTACAGAAGTCGAAGTCCTTATTCTGACTAAGGTGCCACTCAACCAGATATATACGAAGCCTTAACGAAGGGTTTCATTCCAAAGTCCTTATGTTCATGACCTGTCGAGGTTCTGAAAGAGATACATGCCGAAGCCCTGACGAAGGGTTTATATCGAAGTCTTCATGTTCATGACCCGCCGAGGTTCTGAAAGACGATGCTGAAGTTCTAAGAGATGAGAAGGCTGTCACATCTGCCGACCTGATGAATATCTTTGTGAAAGACTAATTAGACATTTATTTTATCTTATATTAGGAATATCAGCCTAAAAATATAGGGTAGTTGACCCTTTATCAATGTAATAAATACATGGGTAAGAAGAATGTAATGTATAGAGGAAGGAGGTAGGGGCACATGGTTCGGATCCAACAGCCACCACGTCTTTATCCTTTCCTTGAGAAAAAGAGAGAGGGAGATAGATATGTGTAGAACAATAGAAACAACACATATATAGAAAGAGAACAAGGGGAGAAAACTAGGGAAAAATAATAACGGGTATATTAATTTTTGGCATACTTTGGAGGGGAGAATAAATACTATTCCATACATTTCAAGCCATTGAATCTCTTATTCGTTCTTCTTCTTCCACAAATATATGTATTTACAACCAATATACCACAAGGATACGTCCACGCATATATTATCTTCTAACGACACCTGTTGGCCATTTTCGGAGGTCAACAAAGCTTTTAGATTCTAAACTTGAAACCTATAGAGAAAAATGTGGACCTATCAAGAAAGAAAATCATGAGATCGATGAGGTTGATGAAGATTATCAGGAGTTCGAATACCATTCATTTTCATCATTTAGTGCATGTTTGATTTTGATTTTTCATCCCAAAAAATCAATTTTTTCGATCGTTACTTCCTAAGTCAGCCGTCATTTTTGAATTTTTCGCTCACAGGTGGGATCCAGTTTTCTCTTTAGTGATCAAAAAATTAATTCTCATAATCACTATCGAACAAGCCCATAGTGAGAATCGGACCGTGGTAGCTCAAGTGGTGCGAAACAAAATGACCATGTTTTGGAATATGCCGATTGTTGTTAGATTTTGAAGGCAAGAGATCTCTAGCTCTTTTGATGGATCTTGAAAGAAAAATGTACCCATCTTCAGACGAAAGATTAGATTCTTCGGAGGTTTTTAATGTTAAGCATGAAGATGACGCCATAGGTATTGCCAAGCTGCTTTCAATTCTTTTCTTGCCTTACACTTTTATGGCATGTTCGGCATGCTCAATTTGAGAGTACCATCCACGATTAAGAAAGAAAAAAGAAGCTAATTTTGTCTAAAGTTATCTAGTGTTGGGTACTAAACATGCCCTTATAGCGTCTGGCTTTAGTGTACTAGTTATTTTTATTTATTTATTTTTTTCCTCCTCCAAATCATCCTCGAATTTGCTTAACATTACGTGGCTCTCGTGCTGGCAGGTGAAAATGAAAATAAGGTCACCCTTACACTATAAGTATCTCTAGTTAAGGAGAGGCTGAGAGCTATAGAAACAGATAGTGGCTTCTTAAAGCAAGTTGCTATGACACTCTAGAAAGGGGTTGAGGGGACTAGACTCTTCACTAAGATAGCTCAACATCTTTGGACAGTTAGAACCGCTTACAAAATTCCATCTGAAGAGACGAATGCATGACATTTTGTCTTAAAGGGGATAGCTGGTGGAGCAATTTTCTTCTTTATTATACTTTTATCAGTTTTATCCTTTGATAGACGATATCAAGTATGAAAAGAATTATGGAGAGGCTACCAGGAAATGTCATAGCAAGGGTGAAGGAAACATCTGTAGAAACTATCCAATCATGTCTATTAAGCTATGTAGTTTAGGATTGAGGTTCCAATGTTTCTTTTGAGGTTATTGTTCAATATGTGAGAAAAAACAGGGATAGCTGATAAATGTAAGAAGGCCCGATGCCACTACTATGTACCAAACAGATCTAGACGTCCATTTGAATCCTCGAATTTTGTCTGGAAAGAGGAGAGCTCGAGTTAGAGGTGTTGCCTCATCTCTTTTCTGCTACTTCCTTGGACAAAATTATATGTGCCGTACCAACCTTAAATGTGTGAAATTATTTCAATAGAATTCAGTTTATATAATTTAATCCTGAATTATAAGGTGATAAAATATAAAAATCTGCCAAGTTTTTGTTTTTCCTTTTTTCTGTAGATTGAGTTAGGCTGACTCATTTTTCAGGCTTAATACGAAGTTTTTGTTTTGAGAATTGTCCAAACTTATATAAAGCCAATTGAAATCACTTTCTAAATAAATTTGAGTGGCTGAATTAAAATCACTCCTTATCTCTTACAAGGTTGTTGGCCTATATCCATCCACAAAAAAAACATTTTTAAACTTAAAATAACTTTATTCCCTTTATAAGCTTTGCCAAATATGCTCTAATTATGATTTTCAAATTACTTAACTTTATCTATAAAATTACTTTAATAGAAAATAAATTTTAACTTATTTTTAGAAAATAACTTTTGCTTTACAAAAATTTGCTCTAAATTAATNATAAAATTACTTTAATAGAAAATAAATTTTAACTTATTTTTAGAAAATAACTTTTGCTTTACAAAAATTTGCTCTAAATTAATTATTTATTCCTAAACAAAGCCCAAATGACCATAATATGGCTTACAAAGAGGGCCCGGGAATGGATAGTGGCCGCTGAAAGGCTGATGATTCACCCGCGCACGTTAGCAACTGCCGCCGCATCGCCACCTTCTTTTTTGACCACCCGTGTTCTCTACCCATATTCTTCTCGCCTTAACCTACGCCAAACCGCCATCTTAAACTTCACCACCATGAACACCAACAACGCCCAATTGGACACCATTTTCAAGCAAAAAAAGATCCTCCGTAGCAAAGTCAGAAAAGACCTCAAGTCCATGGATCCCACTCTCAGATCTCAAGAAGGTACATACACACCTACATAAATGCGTATATATATGTGTGTGTTTTGTGTGGTGTGCTTATTAGTTTGTGTTATTGATTTGAATCTTATTCATTTCACATGGAATCCCCTCCCCCACCCATTTTGATTGTTTCAGATGATGCAATACAAAGTATAATATTGGAAGCTCCATGGTTCAAGTCTTGTAAAGGACTGTGTGCCTATATAAGTTGTAGTGCTCTAAGAGAAGTTGATACTTCTAAAGTGTTGTCTGAAATTCTAAAGAACACAGATCAAGGTACATTTTTAATTTATTCCCATTATTTGGACTGCTTTTAAATATTTCAATATGCCATCAAAATGGAATAACGCACTCGACCCCAAATTTATTGAGAACAAGGCTTTTCCACCTGATACTAATCTGGGAGGAGAAGATTTTATATCCTGGTCTAGAGTTGGATTATATGTCGAAATGGAATGTTTAATGTTTATTCATTTGATCCATAGGATTTGTGCCCCTTTTTATGGATTCATTATCTAATTCAAGTTCTTTTTTTCCTGTCCTTGGATAAGATGATCATTCACAGGTGAGCAAAAAGTTGTATGTTCCTAGAGTAGAGGACAAGAATAGTCACATGCGGATGCTGAATATCTCTAGCATGAATGATCTAATTGCGAATTCCATGGACATATTGGAGCCCGCTCCTGTTGATGCTAAGGGAAATGAACGCCAAGATGGTAATTCTTGTCTGCTTCCTGTAGAATCCCAGTTTCATTGTTTTCACTTTAAAATTATCTGCTATACTCTTACTTCTACATGGGTATGCATATATGTGGGCTTACGCATATTACATGCACATATACACGTGTTTGTGTGCTAATGCCACTTGTAGTTATCTATGCCGGGTTGTTGAATCAATTATCATTGTAGTGAGACTTTATTTTGTTGTTTGCTGAAAATAAATCGTCCACAAGTCTCCAAGAACAAGAATTACCAGTGGCACAATGGTGAATATTCCGGGGAGAGGCACTGTGAATATTGAAGCTGGGTGCTAGATGGTGAATATTGAAGAGGAACATTCACGCTATGAGATTAGTGTATAACCAGACTCAATTGGTTGTTCAAGTAAAAAAATTGAGAAAAGGTCCGATATATGCAGTTTGGTTTTGAGGAACTGACAAAGAACTTGAATAGAATTCTGTAAAGAGTAGTAGAGGGCAATGAAAGAATTGATAACTTTATCTTATAAGAACTCTTGGCATTGCAGGGAAGTTGAATTTGATAATCGTGGACTCGTAAATTATTTATGAATTTACAAAAGGTGATGATTTACTTTCACAAAATGCTCATTTGCTCAAGGTTTACTTACAATAAACAAATGAAGATTTTGCTAAAGTAAATCTTCGCCTTTAAATACAATTATCAAATTTAACTTTCTTGCAATTTAACAAGTTCTTATAAGATAAAGTTATTTGTTTGTTCTTCCATCCCTACCACTCTTTGTGGGTTCTAATCAAGTTATTTACCAATTCCCCAAAGCCTACCAGCAAGAATCATACCTTTTCTCAATGTTTTGAGTTGAACCTACTAATCGAGTCCGACTCTACACTAATCTCACAGCTTGAGTGTTCTTCTTTAGTATTCACCACCTGACACCATTTTTAAGTGTCAACCCTACCAAAAGTATTCAGCATGCTTGTGCCAACATCATCACTCTCCACTTGTGTACTGTATTTAGTATTCATCACGTGTATCACCGGCAATTCTCATTCTTCGGTTGTTTTGGATTATTGGTCATTTTGTTTACCCCCAAACAAAAAATTAAGTGTCTCAATCATGACCATTGCTCCAACAACCTTGCATAGATAATTACATATGGCATTAGCTTCATAGACACAAACACGTGTATTTGTGTATGTATGCATATATATGTTGGTTTTGTCGAAAATTATACACTCTCAATATGTTTGATACATAGACCCATTTGATTCCCATTCTTTGGCCACAAAATGAAAAATATGACCGTTATTCATCACATCAAGCTATTATATTTGACTTTCTCTCTCTTGTGTGAATATTGTAACAACTATATTTTTTATTCTCATTCTTACAAAAATGGGTACCAAACGGGGTTATAGTTTTGGATAGCACTCGACTCTACAACAAGATTTGACATTTGATTGAAACTAAAAGTTTTATTTTTTGCAGTCATGTTTGCCGATGAACCTGTGGACTTGTTCCTCTTACCTGGTGTGCATTTCCATTCTGTCTCCTTTTTTTTTCTTGTGTGCATCGCTTCCATAGGTTGAAAATGGTGTTGATTTGATTTTTTTGGGATACTTTTATTTTGCAGGGCTTGCCTTTGACAAATCTGGTAGGCGCTTGGGCCGTGGTGGAGGGTAGGTTAAAAAATTTTGGTTGTACAATTTTCCTTTAGTTCTTTTCTTGTTTCTTTGTTTTTACGATCAATTTTATTTATTTTTTTAATTTTCTAATGTCAACCTGTTTTTATATCTTGTCCTGATGTTGCGATGAACAAAATAAAGTTATTATGACACTTTCCTTACGAAGTACGAGGAGCTCGCAAAGGATCGCAAATGGAAGAGACCTTTATTTGGTAGGTAACTCTGTTGAATTCTGCTAGGGAACATATGTTGCATGTTTTGTATGCTTAACAGTTACTTTTAAGTAAGCTAAGACTTCATATAAAAATATGTTTTGTAAGTGGGAAAGGTAGCTAAGAAAATCATGTTTAACTCAAAAGCAATTTTGTCTTACTTTTAAGCATAGTCTGACATGCTCTAAGCCTAAGCTTCGATATGATAAGAGTGTGTGATTAACTTATAGGACCCTGAGATTGCAGAGATTTTCTAGGAATGAATAATGATGTTACTACCCTGCGGAGCTGTTAACCAATATGTATTGGCTTAGATTACTTCAACTGGAGATAACTAGAAAGTAACAGAGATTATATGAAGTGGAATATAAATGGTTTATTGATTGGAAAAGAAAGAAACTATGATTGAACAAAGGATACTGAATGAAATACAAGATACCCCCAGGCAATTCGAGAGACCTGACTCTCCCCACAATTCTCTACTATTTTCCTGATGCCCTTCTAATCGCCTCCCCATCACATTTATAAGCAACCCCTTGACCATAACTACTTGATTTATTACACTTTTGACCCTCTAACTAACTGTTGAAGAATCTGGAATAACAATTGATGTGGCTGCCTCAATGTTTGCATATGTGAACTGGATTGGGGTCTATCATTAACAGTTTTGCTTTGATGTGCAGTTGCTCTTTCTTATTCGCAGCAGATATTGGATGAAAACATTATACCAATGACCCCAAACGATGTCCTCGTGGATGCTCTCGTGTCATCCTCTGGTGTGATCCCCATTAGTTCAGCTGCACAGGCAATGTATTCCTGATAAAAGGTTACAGGAGCGGTCACCCCTGATGTTTGTCTGAGTTTTTCCAAAGCTGCATTGGATGAGTGTCACCCGAAGATTTCCTTTATGCCACTACGTTTCTTTTTTTCATGTAATAAAGCTGATGATATTGCGGTGTGGTTAGACTGGCTGATATGTATGACGAGTCATATTGCTTCAAGCCTTTAAGGTTGCATGTATTTGAAACTTGAAAGTGGGTTTTTTACATTGATTCAAAACTTGCTATAGAGCTTTGGACTTCTTTGTAGATCTACTAATGTAACCGGACAAATGAAGAAAAAAGATATATGCATTCGACTTCAAATTTATTAAAGGTTTAGATTTTTGTAGCCGTTGTTTGCCTTGCATGTGGAACTTTCATAAAGGGTTGGTGTCTCTTCTTTTATATGCTTTAGTATCATGTGGAACGCTCCTTTTATTTGTTTTAGTCTTACGTTGTCTATTTCTTACGGATGACAATGGGACGAATCGAGGTTGGGTATAAAAATCTAATTTTATTGTTCCGTTTAATTAATTAATTGTATTCAATCCCTTTTATTATACACGATGGGACACGCGAGATAATTTAGAGATTTTAGCCATACCTAATTATCTTGTTTTAATGAAATGGTCAAGACAAGAAGATTATGCCAAGTGCCAACTTTGAAATGAATGCCGTTTGAAATGTATTATCTTTCTTATTATTGAATTTAGCACCATAAATATATGTAGATATCGTACTATATATATGCAGGCATAAAGATTATTTCCTTATATGATATAAGCAGAAATGAAACAGTGTGACTTCTTGCAATGACAGCACAACCTTTCAAGGATTTTAAATTTTCCAACCTAACATTTTAATACAAGCATTTATTCATATACATTTCGTAATTTCGGAAAAATCATAGTATTAGTTTTCAACTAATCATTCTAATATCAAATTAGTTGTTATTATTTAAGAAGCAATTATTATGTTCCAATTCTCTCCATTAGATTTCTTTCATTAATTTGGGTTATATTCATGTTATTCCTATACATCCACAAATCATTATTTTTATATGTTAGAAAAATTTCTTATCAAATTAAATTTATACCAAAAAAGAATCGTAATCCAATAGTAGTTACATAATTAATTATATTTAAGGATAATCTCAAATAAAATTACTCAAGCACATTCATTTGGTTACACTTCAATGTAGTCACGTACCAATTTTATTTATTTTTTAATCGGTTCCAAAATTTATTTTATTTACATTGCACATTCT